AATCTATTTAATTATTCTTGAAAAATTATTTATTTCTGAGCATTTTTTTCCACACTGCATCAAATTAAGTTGATTACGTCAATTAAGCATCATGAGGTGGAAGGTGGGGGTGGGGGGTTCCCTATTTTTCTTTTTTTTTTCTTTTTTTTGCTGGGAGTTTGCAACCCTATTAGTTAGGTTGCTTAATATTGCTGCTAAGTGCTCTTTAAAATACCAGAATAGGGAGGATGGTGCAGGTTTAAGTTTATTAGATTGATCAGTTTTGCTGAACTATGAAATATTTTGGGTGCAGTGTATTTTTTACATACAGGTATAACAGAATAGCTTTAGTGTTGTTGTTTATTTAAACTTGAGCATGAACTTATACAAAATGCAGCAAGATATTTAAAAACAGTTTTATTGATTAAAAAACACACTGTATCGGATTCATATCGGTATCGGCAGATATCCAAATTTATGATATCTGTATCGGACATAAAAAAGTGGTATCATGCCATCTCTAATTGTGGGTTGTGAATATAAATTGAAGTGAATTGAATGAATCTATTGAGAGGTCAATGAAAATGGTTCAATTAGAGATCAAGTTTCAATTTCCTCAGTTCAGTGGTGGTCAGATCATGTCCATTGAACTGTTGGGAAGTGATCTTTAACTTATATGACCTGGGATGCTGTGGTTAGAGTGTTATTATTTTTCCTCTTTGGTCAGACAAATCACCTCTGAAGTTGCTGCAAAGTCACACATTTAAAGGATATTTACTTTTCATTTCCAGAAGAAAAATACCAGCGACATTGAGAAGTGACGTGTGTATGATGGAAGACATCAGAGACAATTACTGATTCCTTTGGTAAATATGTGATGATTTTGTGGTGGAGCCTGGACTGAGACAGACGAATTGCTTTAGATACAGAAGTTGACATTTAATTTAGAGCATGAGTCAAAAAAAAAGCATCCACTCATTTTTATTTCTTTATCTCAGCTCACATGCTCCTGATGTACCATGTACTTGTAAGACGTCCCTGAACTAATTTAAGCATCGTCTTTCTAGTCGCACTCCTAAACACACTGCTGCATCATACACTATTTAAATTGTACTCAGCCTGGTGTGTTCATATGAATGTGATAGCATGCTTGAGGGAGCAGCCAGCTGCTATCAAAAAGGTTGTGACTGTTTTACACCAGACAGAAGACCGATTTAGATGAACACATTTTAAATTAGGGCAAACTTTTACATTATTAGCAATGCTAGCAGCATGTCTCAGTGAATAGAAAAATGTCTGCTAATCCTGCAGCATGATACTGCTCAATTATCTCAGCAAAATGCAAATTTAGATGACACTGTTTGACCTTAACATCAAAATACCTAAAACAGCTGTGAACTTTTAGGGCATGGGCATGGGCCCTCGGTTGGGTTGGGTGGGAGGTCTGTGGTGTCTGTTACATAAACATCCACAACTGATACTTTCAGTCCTGTGGGTTGGAGAGAAGTCGTCTGTGGATGTATGTATGCTATAGTTCATGTTTGTGTTATGTCAGTGAGTTTGCA